AGAGCAACTTTTGGGAAGGCGAGGCTGTGAAATTTAATGGAAACGTCTGCTCTACTCATATAATTGGGGGAAAATTCAACTACCAGTCCTTCATCACCTTAAACGAAATAGCCTGAACGTAACTCATATATCTGATTTACTGTTAATCTCGAAAACCTACTCGATAACGAAAAATATATTATTATTATTACTGTCTTTACGACAAGGTTGTTTCAATTTATGATTTTCTTGATATGCATCTTCCATAGCCATATTTCCATACTTACTTTATGTGGACATATAGTATCCTATTTTATCTTGATATATCATTTTGCTAGCCGTGTTGATCATATATCTATCTTCAACAATTTTGTGAGCTATAGATAAAGATCACTTTAATTCCCTTAATTTCAACTTTTATTTTTATTCTCTAGAAGAAAAATTTAATATACAGACAAGCTCTTCACTTTTCTTGTAGATTTATTCTCACTATTATAGTGCTATTATTATCCTATGGTGATCGTTGGCTATATTTTTTGCCAATGTATTGTACTTAATTAATTGAACCTGGGATGCCTTAAGATATGCTTCCAAATAATTTAAATAAATTTAGTAGACATAACGCATTCAAGCTCCTTATTTTTCCAAAACTTGTGACTATTCGCTGGATCTACAGTTTTGCTCATATCAGGTGTCCATCTGCAAGCTATTCATAAATGCTTGATTTTTTGCCAATTTTTCCATAGCTAACTGTTTTATTTATTCTGCAGCAGATTATATAGACTGCTACAAATATTTTTTTTCATTATTTCTTATATTTCGGTGAATCCATTATCTGTAACATTTGCCGATTATTTTTAATAGTATTTTCATACAAAATTTCTATATGATTTATCTATCTAGTAAACCCAATCTTCTCATATATCGTAATATGGTCGTTTGTAGGGGGTAATGTAAGTTTGTCTCGTCGACAACCACAATAAAAATGTAAATTACTATAAGCCCGGAACTCATGGCTGTAATGGATTGGTAATGTGTCGTCATGCCCACGCCCAGGTACTTAAGAAGGCTAGTTGAGGTCAAAACTTCAGTCCATCCAGTATTAGAAACTATTTTAGGAAGCAAAGCTAGGCAAAGGTCTACTTATTTTACTAGGTTTATCAGCCATCATTCTTTCATCATCTTAATCTTCCTAGGTTGTCTCAATTTCTTTATCTCTTGGTCTTTTTTCGCTTTAGACTCTTCATATTCTCTTCCATCTTAATCCTTAATTTTGTCGGCTTTCTTTTCTGACTGAAAAAGATTTTAATATGACCCTGTATCTTTTAATTCTCATTAATTTTCCATCAGATTGATTCATCTTTATTTTATTTGTATCGCTTATTTTCTTTATAAACCCATAAGTGCATGCTCACCTCTATTTCTCGCTATTCATTCTTTTCTCTGCATTCATTTACATTTTTTGTGTTTGTAGATCGATCTTCCATTATACCTGAACAGCATCAACCCCCTTGTTCTCCCTCTGCTTGCTGCCAATCAGAGCCAAATCGTAATCGATCCCATTTTTCCTGTAGTTGCCCTTCCACATCGATGTTCACAACTGTTGGCACTATTCCATCAGGCCAGGTCGGTCCAGGAGAGCATCTTCCTGAATGTTTGTTAGCCCATATTTCCTCCGCTGGGGCGCTTCTTGAGCCAGACAGTCCTCCGATAGAGGCCATATACACTAGTTCTCATTCCTTGTCGCATGTTGGTCAGAAGCATCACCACACTCACCACTCTGGCAGTGTTCCTCCTACCGGGCGCGAAGTAGACCGAGGCGCCACCTCTTCTGGTACCGGGACCTCGCTCCGACGGGCTGTCTCTAAGGACTTTGAACTAGGCTCTTTACCATATACTTCCAACGTCGATTCTACAACTGTTAATCCTCCACCTGTTGTCAGAGCCTCTACTGGAGGCAGTGGCTGCAGTTTCAGTTCGCGTGCTTTGCGTGACTTAGCCCCAATGCAATCAAGCCGCCAGTCTCCACCTCGAATCGGCACCGAACTCTCTCAGCCAAGTGCCATCACAACATCTGCCACATGGCAAGATGACTATGGGAGCGATAGCAGTAGCGTTTCACCAACCTCGCGTGCAGCCCCTCACCAAGCTCTCACACCTTTGCAACTTCTCACAAACGCGCCAGTCACTTTAATCACAGAAAGCCTACCTATGGCGCTTACCTCCACTATGGCCGTCACCTCAGGTCTGGTAGCCGAACCGACTTCGGTGCTGGACCAGCCGGTCGATGTTGACCTCTGCGCAACCGGTGTTTCAGCCCACCCTTGTTCATCAACTGCCTGCCCCAAAAGAATCCTCTCTAGCAGACAGACCGGGACCTCATTGGATGCCTCGAATGATCAGTCGTTGGTCGTCACTTCAGGAGCCTCACCGAATGGTATGACAATAGTTTCATTTTCACTCACGTTGTTCTAATATCTATTAAGTAGTTTTGGGCTAAAGTCTTATGCTTTATAAATCCACTTTAATATCTCCCAATTTGACTCCATTTGTTTATTCAATAAATTGCATTAAGACTATCAGACGATGTGCAGCATAGTAACTCCTGAATAAACATCTCACTTTTAGTCCTTTAAAACACTATTCTCTGATGAATTTGCAGTACCTTCATTTATGTCAGTTTTGCAACACTATTGAGAGGGGCACATTACAACCTGGCCAACGATACTTATTGCTACTAAGGTAAATCTCTTGCTGTTGCAGGATGCTGCTTCATGTCTGATGGGTTACCTCATTTTTATTAGTCTTGAGATGAGTTTCTAGTACGCTAATTTCACCTTAACAAGGCAACCTCTGGTTTTTATAATCCTTTAAGATTGTTTCAAAATTTCTCTTGGCAGAATAAAATCTGTATTAATTTTATGGCTCACTTCATTTACAAGAGAGATAAGTAAGGCTAATTTATAAGAATGTCGCTACTTTTTGGTAAATACCAGTATGGACCTTATCGAAAATGCTACTAGGTAATTCATCGAAACAGAATTTCTCTTACTTGATTCCTGCTAATATTTCTAACCTGAATTTATAATTAATGTCAACTTTCAAAAAATCTTTCGATTTAGTCGAATTTTTTAATCTTTTCACACGTCTTATATTTACTTACTTATAGTTGGCATAAGTTATCAATTCCATTTTTTTCCAGATTTGTGCGATCGTTATGAAACCACTGGAGTAAATCGGGTGAGCTAAATTTAATGTTCACGTAGTCATTGGATTTCTTCATAAAATTATGTTTTTTATTTTATAATGTATGCACACAAGGCCTATTTTGTTTTATAATATATCTGTAAAACTTAATGAGCAAAAAGCGTGATCCAAACTTGAAACTTTCTTCGGCCTGAGCAATACTCTCCTAGATATGAAGCTGAAAACACTGCACCTAGTAATCGCTGCACATAAATTCTTACAATTTATATTGATTTTTAGACCCCTTTGGATATTTAAATATATGCTATTTCTGCATTAGACTACTAAGAC